AATGATCTGGTATTGTAAAATGATTTTTTTATATGCTGCACACCGGGTGAAAAATCATTAGTGTAACATCGACGGTTTCTCCTGTTGTAACTGTATGGTTTTATCAAACTAATCTGGAATGCGTTGCTGAACTTGTTTTGAGTCACGAATTATGACATTGATTTTGACAAGGCGGTTTTGTACTTAATAATCAATCAGTGCTCTGTATTTCATACCTCACATATCCAAATTTTGCATAAATTTTAGCTTGCAAGGCCTAAGTTGTTCCTTTTCCAAAACTTGATTGCTGCCAATCGGCATTGCTTATTAACTACATAACTACATATAACAATTCCCCATATCAGATTAATCAAACTATATTCTAATATAGCGAAAAATGGCTGATCGTATTAAACTAAATAAATGCGCCCAAAACCTTGTAAATCAGTTTCTTTTATTTTGGCTATTGCTATAGTAAGGTGAAAATCCTTAAAACATGCCCAGGGTAGAGGATGTTATCCTGTTTCCCAATTTAATAAGGTTAGGGTTAGGTTTAGTTAGTACGTAATAGCTATTTTAAATTTTATTTATTTATTTTTGGTTATAGGTTAAGAGCCTATACCCGGGTATATTTAAGGACGCCCTAATAAGGCTGTATCGGTTATATTAGATTACAGCATCTTAGGGTACTGGCGAAATTTCGCTACAGCGGCAATTACAAAATTCACATCTGCAGAATTCTCTTGGTTGATCAAAAATAAACCTTCAATAGCTCGACAAGCTAAAACAAGACCTCAATTACAATATGAAATCTGGGAAATCTAGACATTTAATATATATTATACTTGTTATGCTAATAATTCACAATAAATATAATTTGTGTATATCGATATTAATTCTATAATTATAGCTGTTTTCAAAAAAGGTGTGAACAGATGCAGGTCACCATACCACGGATTTCCAGAATTTTCAAAACCAGTTCTAATCTGGACCTTCAATTTTTACTGATCAGAATTTCCTAATTCTTCAATTCCTACATAGGCATATGGAAATCGTTGTTCATACCTTTTTGAAAACAGCTGTAAACGTGAATAATTTACATTCAAGAAATAACATTCCTTATAAATATTTATAAAATCATTAATGTTGAAAATTTTTTTTGCTTACTAAGAAGCCAACCAAGCCTACTCTGTTACAACTACATAATTTATAACTTATTGTGTTTACCGTTCACTTGTTCACAAATGTTTCTCATATCTCTTAATGCTTTAATAAAGCTTTCCTTTAACGCTTTAGAATCAGTCTCTGATGATGAAAATTTTGATTCTATACTAAATTTAAGCAAATGCTGGCCTTTATATGTAAAAAGATAAAATGTCGAATATAAATGTATGATATGAAATAGTGAACATTATAAGTAGAAAATTTTTTGGTATTTACCTGGAAGATAATTAATTCCATACCCGTTAGGGTAAACACATCCAAATCCAGTTCCTTTAAACAACATAAACATATATAATATTTAAAAAACAGAATAAGATCCAACTAAACAAAATCAAGCACAAAACATACCATCAAAATAATCCCCAGGACCTAAGCTACTTGTACTCAATAGCCATTCCTGACTTTTTGCAAAGATTGGTTCTTCAAAAATTGGATGTGTCTCTCCCTTTTGTAACAAAAGTCGAAGGCCTAACAAATGACGATCACAACCTTTACCATTAGAAGCATCTATTGAGTAACTAGTGTGAGCCTTAGTTGCCGCTTGTAGTCGATCATACTTTTGCTGAGCCTATAAAAGTCAAATAATAAACAAATCAGAAATTATACAGGTATATATATATAAAAGGTCATTTTCACAGACATACACTTAACGATTTATCCAGCATTCCTTCTACAAATGCCTTACTTTCTACGCTCAAAGTTCGAATTGTTTCAGTACGTCCTCGCAAAAATTGTCTTGTTGAACCTGTCTCATAAGTTGGAACAACTCTTCCGTGAAGTTGATAATACGCCAACTGAATGGCCATTTGAAGATATGCATCAGGTGAACATTTCCCTATAATAATATTATTAATTTATTACGATCAAATAATCATAGAAATTTCTGGAGTAATTAATTACCAAACTTCTTTATGAACTGTGTTCCATATTCCGAAAATTGCAAAATAGTTGCATCAGAATCAGCGATTAATGCCTTAGTTTTGTTCTCTGCAACAAAAATATCCTTCAATGTTTGTTCATTAGTATTAAAACGTATTCGGAAAGGAGGAGGTATAGGACGGCCAGACAAATGCGCGTTTAGAGCAGTAGGTTCTTTGAGAGTCCATTCAGAAATAAATGAAGGTATAAGAGCGTCACATGGTGAATGCTAATAAAAAGATATGTTATTACTATATATAAAATTAAATAATAAAAATATATTTACAATAAAAATTATACCTCTCCATTCATTCCCGCACGTCCATTACTATCTACAATAACTGACATTGACTTATCGAACCAACGGTTATGACCATTAACCCCATGAAATATATAACCAAGGAATTTATCAAGATCCGTTCCCGTTGCATAGTCATCCAAATTGACTGCAAATAATGCATTCTCAATAAGAGAAAGTGTTTCTCGGTTTTGCGGAGAAATTGCCAGTAGACGTTCTCGTGACTTGTGAAAAATCTGTCAATAATAGTAAAAGACTAATATAACAAAATTTCATTTAAAGAGTTACCATAGTCCAAGAATCACGGTCATCTGCAGTGAGAATACCAATTGGAGGATCAAGCTGTGCTTTTTCAACATCGGCAATAATGTCATTAAGCTGCCTTTATTCAAATGTTAGAAATTTTTTTCCCTTTGCAAACCATTGATACATCATGTAATCACTTACTTTTCAATATCACCAGCGGTCAATCGTAAACCATTTTGATCATATCCCTCCAAAATATAAAATTGATTTTTCGCGGTTACCAATATATGTTTTACCGGGGTTGGATGTGGTGTATATACAAGTTTATCGCAACCATGTTGTGGAATTCGTGTATATCCAAAAAGGCGTGTATATTGGTGCATACATAAAGGATGCGTTCGTGTAACATCTGGCGGAATTTGTTCACTGAAACAGATCGCAAAATTATCTGAAACATCAGATATCTGATTTTAATAGATAAAATTAAAGTTACCTATCAATTAAATCTTTATATTCTAATAGTTTATTGATCAAATGTGCTGCTCTTTTAATCTGAAATTCTGAAAAATGGCCTCGCGGTTTAACACCGTTGTCCACAGAAAAATATTCACTTGGTGTATTAGGATCATTAACGAACAAGAAAAACCAGTTAGAATTCACAACAACAGAAACTCTCCACTCTTGATATGCTTTTTTTATCCACCAAGTGTCATCGAGCCAATTATTGGGCGATATACGATTGATGTCGATTAAACGCTGTTGAAGAACACGACCTAAACCATTAGGTTTAAGAAAATCTTGAATATGAGCTTCATTTCTTGCAATGTCTTTGGCGGATAAAAGAGGACGAAGTGAGCGTAAATATTTTGTCGTAGTATCTTCGAGAGTTGGAACAGGAAGTTTTGGTAAACGACTTTGGTTACTTAATGTTTTATTACTTTGGCTAACCATGATTAAAGTACGTTCGGTAGGGCGTACCCGAAGAATTTTTATAGAGTCAAAAATTGAATATGATTGGTCACGGCCTAACATTTAGCCATATCAGATATCTGAAGCAAATCGTAGCGATGATGATAATCTTGTTAGTTTTGAGTACATACGTGTTTATTTACACCAGAGTACAGTATTTAAAATTCGATGATGCGTATTACAGGTTTACTCTTAGAATCACACGGATAACGAGAACAAATTTAATACTACACAAGAAGAAGTTGATGCGAAGATTCGGTTATTGAAGGCAAAACTCAAAATAATGATAAAGATTCAGATATTTGAAATATAAATTTACAGATGAAGATTCAGATATTTGAAATATTAATTTACAGATGAAGATTTAGATATTTGAAATATAAATTTACAGATGAAGATTCAGATATTTGAAATATAAATTTACAGATGAAGATTCAGACATTGAAAGCAAAACTCAAGTAAGTTTAATTACAAAGAACAGGAACTTTGTTACGAACTAATTCATATTAAGAATTCCTTGAAAGTTTCCATGGTAGACAATTCAAATGAGACATGGTGGTTAAATATTGCAAATATCTTGTCTAAAAAAAAAAATTATTGATTTCTAACAGAATTGAGAATTCTGCTAGTTATATTTTTAAAAATTTAAGCATCGTTGTATGAATTAGTTTGGGTTCAATTATATGCTAATTTTATTGCACATAATAAAACAAATAACTTGTTAAAAATATATTAGATTAATTTTTTCATATTAAGTAACTTCATTCAAAAAGACATTAATTAGTATGGTATAGGTGAGCAATAGTATATACCATACTGACCCGGCGTTAGATATATTAGCGTTAGGGTTAGGATCAATAATATATAGCTTTTACTCCCTTTTAATTTCGACCTATACTATACTGATCTTCACGTATAATTTCTTTGACGTCTGATTTCAAATAAAACAAGTGACATATTTATCCCAAAATAGGTGACGTATAAATTTGATTTTTTTTAATGTATACTTATTTACATAATAGTTTACCAGTAGATATTTATTAAAAGAAGCCAATTTTCTCACTAGCTACGACTATTTAATTTTCTGATTTGTAATTTTAAACCAGAAATTGAGATCTTTTAAGCTCCCACTTATTTTCGAAATGTTAATTCTGAACATCCTTAGTATTTGTAGTGTCATACGTATATGAGTCTACAATATGTATAATATATTTAAATTTTTAACACGACATAAGATCTTTGAGAATAATGTAGAATATTGAGAGAAAGTATATGAACGTTTAATAATGACAATTTTTAAAGCATAAATTTTCATGAACAATTTTCGCAAACAGCTTGCATAACGATAATGAAAAGATTAAAAAGGGTTTCAATCTAGGATCTTTTTTATAAATATAAATCAGAAAAAGCAAACAGGTACGTACAGTACGTACAGTACATAAAAATAATTAAGTTTTTTGTTTATAAAAATATACTGACAATGCATTTTATCGACAAGCCATCTAACCGACATCACATAACATGACTAGAGATGCTAGTGAAATTAATTTCACCAGCATCTTTAAACATGACAATTTACAAATTATACTAAATTGTCACCCTATATGATTCGTTAACCGATTTATTGGTGAAATTATTGACCAAACAGATAGATACACCGAGCGCGTAATGCTCTATTAACCAATTTCATTTTCTTGTATACTATTTTTCTACATAATAGGTAAAGGACTAGTATTAACAAACATTTGACCATATTAATCTTATTATTTAATATTCTGCACTGTAATATCACAAGATTTAAATAAATAAATAAATAATAATAAAAAAAAACCAATATTAAAAAACTTAGTTATTACCATGGTTACCACGACTAGGAAAAGAATCTAATGAGAAAATTCGAAAGAACAAGTTAAGATGACGATATAGTGGAAGAAGTAAAAATAGAGAAAAATGATGTCTTCTTGCATTTAACAAGATTTAGTAGTTGATATCCCACTCGATCCCAAGGTTAAAACGAAATCAAACATATTACACAATGTTATTTAATAGAAATATCTTAAAAAACAAAATGATTGAATATTTAATATTTTAATATTATTCGAATTTATTCGAATTGCCTTATTAAGGCGATTCAATATTCAAAAAACACGGTTTACAGGTTTCACAGGTTGTCTCTCATATCAATATGTACAAAACGCGCGTATTTACGCGATTTCTGGATTTATGTGATCGTCAAAACGTTAAATTTTGTACTATTCTCTCTATTAACTAAAAAAAAATTAAGTCCTTTTAAAATGAACACATTACCGATTGAATGCCTTCTCGAAATCTTTAATAACTTTCGGACTCACTACAGAAGTTTATTCTCATGTCTTCTCGTGAACCGTCTCTGGTGTACAATTATTGTACCAATCTTATGGAGTAATCCAACAAACCATTTTTACGATAAAAGGGTTTTAAAAATATGTCTTTCAGTATTAAATGCTAATGAACAAGCATTATTAATTCCCTTTAAAATTATCCTTCCAAAATTTCCAAAATTATTGTTTAAGTATACAAGTTATGCTACATGTGTTGACGATACAACTTTTGAAATTGAAAACTGGCTCATAGACGAAGGACTTATTATTGGACCTCGTCGTAGTTTAAATTCTGCATTTTATAATGATGGACTACTTATAATGGCTGTGAAATGTTCTCTAATCGCAATGTTTTTACGGACAAGTAGGAAACTTAAATCTTTAAATTTCAGTGGTCATTTTTGTGATAAAAAGATCTTTAATAATCTTTATGGTAGCTCTACTATTACCTCTTTAGACTTTTATGCTGGTCAATTTAATTCGGAAACAACTGAAATATTAGTGGAGATTCTTCATAGAAATCCTATAACTTCTTTAAATCTCGCTGAGAATGATATTAGTTCTGAGGGATGGAATGCAATAGCAGTGGCTCTTTGCCAGAACACTACTATAACTTCTTTGGATCTTTCTTTTAATAATCTTGATTCTATTAGAGGCGAAGCATTAATTAAGGCTCTCTCTATGAACTCTACTCTTACGTCTTTAAATCTTTTCCATAATCATCTAGATGATAAGGGTTTGGAAATGTTAGCGGAAGCTCTTCATAGAAACTCCAATTTAACTACTTTAGATCTTAGCTGTAATAGGTTCAGTTTCAAAGGGATAAATGCTCTGATGAAGGCTCTTCATACAAATACTACTCTGACTTCTTTGATTGTTCCTGCAACTTCATTTGGCATTGACGGAATAAAAGCATTAGCCGAAGCTCTCTGTAAAAACACAGCTATAACCTTTTTAAACATTAACAATAATTACCTTGGTTCTGAAGGTGCTGAATTATTAGCGGAGGCTCTTTATAAAAATACCACTTTAACTAAGTTACAAGTGGACGAGAATAATATTAAGTCTGGAGGATTAAGAGCACTAGCAAAAGTTCTTTGCAGAAATAATACTTTGACAACTTTACATCTTTCTCATAACTATATTGATTTCGAAGGTGGAAAATCACTTGCAGAGGCTCTTTGCGTAAACACTAGTCTGATTGATATAAACCTTGGAAATAACAATCTTGGTTCCGAGGGTGTCATAGCATTAGCAGAGGCTCTTTGTAAAAACTCTACCTTAACTACTTTAGGCCTTCACGCTAATGAGATTGATTCTGGAGGGATAAAAGCGTTATGCAAGTCGCTTCACAAAAATACCACTCTAAGTTCTTTAGACCTTGCTTATAATCACCTTGGGTTTGAAGACGGAAAAGCATTAGCTGAAGTTCTTCGTGAAAACACAACCCTGACTTATTTAAATCTCGATTTAAATAATCTTGGATCTAGAGGCGCTGAAGTATTAGCGGAGGCCCTTTGTAAAAACATCACCTTAACTACTTTGAAACTTTGCGGAAATCAGATTGATTTTAGAGGAGTAAAAACATTAGAAAAACTTCTTCATATGAACACTACTCTAACTGATTTAAACCTTTCTGAGAACGAATTTGGTTTTGAAGGAGAAAAAAATTTATTAGAGGCTCTGAGAAAAAATGTCACTTTAACCTTAAACCTTCATCGTTCACGTATGAGTGACAAAGACCGGAATGGTCTTAAAGAAATTCTTCGCATAAATGCTATACCAGCTTCTGTTTTGATTTAAATTTGTGGAAAGTTTGCAATATTTGTTTTGAATTTTTTTTGCTACGCTATTGTGATGGATACTGATTTTCTGAGTTAAAAGAGTATCTAATATTAAGAGATTCTTTTGTGTAATTTTCTGTTATTTTTGTTAGATGATTAGGTTTTAGACAATCAAATACAACAATTAAATAAAATATAAAGTTGAATATACTGTAATGCTTTAACATATTAAGATAAAATCTGTAATAACATGAAATCGCTTTTCTCATTAAACGTAAAAAAAGTGACTTAATTAATCCACTTTTTAGATTCTTTAAAGAAGTGACTTTGTAACTAACTATTTTTAAATTATTAAAGGAAATGGCTTCGTAGCTGTTGGTAAAGCTATAATATTAATTTTTGCGAAATTGAATATAAATTGTAATATTTGTTCAATAACGATAAAATTATTGGTAAAAGTACTGATAAAATAACTGTGAAGCTATTTGTTAAAGTGATAATAGACATGTAATAAATAAAATATTTATTCATAAAATTATTCTTTAATTTACAAAAGCTAATCGATTAAATATTGGTCCATTTAAAATTGATCTGTCCTTTTTTTCAGATCAATTTATTTTTTATCATGTAAAACATTGCCAGAATTTTCAGAATATGACATATTAAAACCACCTATAAATGCATCATTTTTTTTAGAATCCCGTTTGCTTCTGGATCTCTCCATGAAAAAGTCTGAAGAGTTAAGAGTCTTTGTTTTTTAAGAGAATTGTAAAGGAACACGTAGGCATTTGATGAGGGATGCTAAACAATATCCATAAATTTAAAACTTACAGTATAA